ACGGATTGTCGCGCCGAGGAGGGATATATAAAGCAAAAATAGTACGGGGGGTACAGGTGCCATGGGGGATCAGAGCTGGCGTAATGTAACAAGACCAAGAGAATATAAGTCGATCGAGGCAGTCCGCAGTAATACAACGGAGAGGGGGGAAGGCAAGGTGACATCTGACAGGCCTTTTTCAACATGAAGGCTGTTAGGATTCACGTGATACTGCCAGCCTATGTGATGCAACCCACGACATCTAGTCGTTCATGGTACCTGTCAAGTACCGGTCCCCGACTGGGATTCCGATGGAATTCCGATTAGCGCCTGCTAGCGACAAAGTGCAAATGAGCAAGACAGAGTGATCAAGAATGCGGAAAGGAAGTCGGAATCTGAACGGAAGACCGAACCCATAATGATAGAGTTGGAGGGGGCTTGGCTTCAGCTCGTGCGCTGCGCCCTTCTCTACGCCCAAGGCCCGATTTCAGAAATAGATGGGAATCCGAGAGAGAGAGAGGATTAAGGCAAGTCTTAGTCGATATTCAAACTGAAGTCTAACTACAGACATGGACGGTATTTATACGAAGTATAATAATTAAAGGAGATATAATTTTAAGGGTCGGAATAATCGGTAATCCGAGACTTCCGTGATTTATCGAGTCATACTGAATATAAACAAGTCAGGATAAGTCGGATATCATCGGTTGTCCGAGACTCCTGTGATGAAATAAGTCAGAGCATAGCATAGGCATAGGTATGAGTCAAAGGCAGTACAAACCAATAGAAGTAAGGGTATTGTGATAGGGCTGTGTTCGGGTTTATTCAGAATCCGATGGAAATCCGAAATGGACTCAGGAAATGCACGGTACGTGACAGTACTCCGCATCCTTGCAAGACTGGCGGGTCGAGGGGGACGCTGCGAGTAGCCGGGAGGGTCTGAGGTGGGAGGAGGAGCTGCTGCACATCCGAAGACCTCAGTGCTCCTCCGGGTCGTTGTGAAGCGAGGTGTTGAGGGGAAGGACACATGATCCTCTGTTCACTTATGGTTATGTGGACATGAGGGTTTGTGCGAAGAAGTTGTATATATTTGTTTGGCAGTGGCCATAAGTACAAATATTACAAGTACGAAATATGTAATTGAAAGTAAGCAAAATATAGCTACAAGGCACTTAGGCCTGCAAGATACAACTACTGTATCACAGCCTAGCACCACAACCTCTCCGCCAAAAGGGAGCAATGTCAAGCTCAGCTTGACACCTGGCTGGTGGTATTTATACTGGATGACATCCAACCATGATAAAGGCTTGTGCTTGATAAGTGAGGTTTGCAGCCTTCAAAAGGCACCTTGAGAAACTTGAGGATCCACCATCAGAGCTTGAGATGTGGTGCTTGAAGCCTGAAGACATGTCTTGAAGTATCATTTTGAGGTATTTAAGGGAGTTGAGGGGGTTAGGTCCACCTAATTAGCCCACTTACCTGTGCTAGTTAGACCCGGCCCATCATTGATGTGGCAGGCCTAATTAGCAGGGGATCGTAAACTAATTCCATCCTTGTTTAAACCTCCGTTAAAACCTTAAAGAGGAACCCCCCACCTACCTACCGACGGCACTGATAGCGCAGCGCTGGCGCAGTGATCCCGCCCCGCCCCATCACTCTGGGTGCGCACGCAACTCCGCGCCATCAATGCGCATCAGGTATTAATTCACGCCATCACGATTGTGATGGCCTGAATCAATCCGAGGCCTCTGGATCACTGACAAAGAACTACAAAGAGTACAAGTCTCTGACTCGGATATTCAAATGACGTCAAACATGGAGTCATATGACTTGGGTCTGACTTGAGACCGACTCGGTGGTCATAGAGCAGCCAATAAGAATGGAGGGAATGGCTAATATCAGCCCGATGGGACGGAAAGCTATCCGAGAGTAGAGTAATAACCATGATGTAAAGGGATTTCAGAGTAGTATAAAAGGAGGGTTAGAAAGCTGGGATTGGGAGCGAATTGTGCTTGGGCTCTGCGGATGCGAGTTTCACTGCAGTTATAGTTGCTCAGAGTCCTAGAGTTATGTTTGTACTCTTGAATTCTATATAAATACCATTGGATTGGATTGGATCTAAAGTTGTGATTAAGACACTATGAACGACTTGATTGAGACACTGAATTGGACACTGTATCGAATTGGGACTGCAAAGAACCTAGAAACTGTGTTTAGAGTTGTGTTTGACTTGTGCTTGAACTGTGGAGTGATCAGAGACCCAAACCACCCAATCTCGATTAGGTTAACTTCGTCTTAATTGACATAAACCCGCCGGTTCTTCAAAGCCGTTACCTAAAACATCGTTCATACAACTGCTATCGAGTAACTCGATTGACCCGAGAGAACCCAGCGCTTCACAAAGCCTTGAAATCATTCAAAATGAACTATCCCACTGGTCTTAGAGTCTGAGTTGTCCAGTGACCTAATACTTGGTCTATTTCCTCGAACAAACACACACACCTTGTCCACTCATAAGGAGGAGGAGTAGTTGTTGGATTTGTGAAATATTGGCTGTTTGTGTTAGATTCATTCTTGCACTTTGCGCCAGTCTAGCATTTAGATCTTCCACCCACACCTTGAGTTAGTCAAAGTGTTTCACCAGTCGGATTTATTCTCTTCATTTTAATTTTGAATTCCGTACTGACCATGGTGTGCCAAGACTGGCTGACTCAGTCCATTGTGATGCGGACTGCGGTGCTTTAAACTGCCAGATGGTGGGGAGATCCGGGCTATGTTTAATTGCTCGTCCTCTAGGGGGAATTTGTTCTGTCGCGGTAGACAAGTACGTAGGGAGGTTTAAATAATATTGGTGGGGATATCCGTACAAGGATTGAACAGTCCGTTCAAATCCTGCTAGCTAGGGTGGACCGAGCGAACTCCGATGCCTAGTTAGCCTTCTCGGAGTAATGGAGATTGAATCTGTTCTACACTTCCTCAGAGGAGGAGCTTCGGAAGGCGATGCGGGGTCCAATTTGTCAAGTCCGAGGGAAAATATGGATTTAGGGGCTTCTTAGACCACAAACCACAGTCGTCCGAAGTATCTTTGAGTCGTAGATCATAAGACCAGTGGAATTATGTGTTCGCCGTAACGTTCCTGGAATTTCTCCTCCCTTTACCCCTCTTTGTGCCTCTACGGAGTTTCCTCTCTCTACTTCTCACCCGTTCGCTTGCTGAAGGCGACTTCCTGCGGGCTCTGCACCACCGACTTCCTTAGCTAGCAGCTACACACGAACTCCGAACACCTTGTTGTGCTGTTTGAGAGATTTCACTGCCCTACTGATGTAGGGGAGGAATAAACGGCTCGATTTCTTCGGCGCTGAACTTTTTATGCCGAAATATAAACTCCGTTCGCTGTCTGACGGCGGCAAGGGAGTGCCGAGGTCGCTTTACTGTGTAACTCGACTCCGGGTGACCTCTAGGTGATGTTCGGGGCGGATATTTAGCTACTCCTAAGCTGGCTAAGGCTTAGAAGGTGAGGATGTGGGCCGAAACTGAGATGATATTTTGGTAGGCTAGCTGGTGTATTTATACCCCAGCCCAAGGCTGTGCCGGAGTTGTTCCTTTGTGTCCCATACCTGCTCACTCGCACGCTCCTCCGCCCCGGAGTTCGCTTTGTGACTCATTCCCAAACTCCGTGAACCCATACCCGCACCATCTTCAGTCAGGCACCAATTCCGCATCCCGGACTTGTTGGCCCTAGTCTCGGACACTCCATGTCCGGTCCTAACTCTCCTCCTATCCGGCTTCCGCCTGCGACGGCTCGATAGTGTAGTGGAAACGCACTCCGTATCCTTTCACCCCAGTGTTTGACTTACAGAAAGTCCGGAGTTCGATCCTCCGTCGAGCCCTTTCCCATGCTACCCACCTTTTTGATTACCCGGAGTTCTCATTCCATCCATTCGGGCCGTTTGGTATTCGCAACTCGATGGCGTAACTGTAACGCATCCTGCCATGGTTCTTGCACAAGCACGTCTTTTGCAGGAAGTCCGGAGTTCAATCCTCCGTCGAGTCATCCCTCTTTTCCATTCCTTTTTCGTGCGCCTCTTCCCGGACCTTCGTATCGCTCACCACATGGTCCGGTGGCGTAGTGGTAACACACTCTGTTCGCGTAGCTGGCAGGAAACTGAAATAATGGGGGGACCGGAGTTCGAATCTCCGACGGGCCTTACGTTCTTTTTGTCCGTTGAGTAAGAAGATAGGGCGCGTTTTTGAACGGTTCAGTGGCGTAATGGTATCGCACTCCGCATTCCTATGTAGTTCGCGGTATGCTTTACGGAGAGTTCGGAGTTCGATTCTCTGCTGAGCCATTATGAAGAAAACCCTTCTTTTTCATGGTGATAGTTTTGGCTGGTTGTTCGATTCCTACGGCTCGGTGGCGTAATGGTAGCGCACTCCGTGATGATCTAATGCATTTTTTTATCAATTGACAGAAAGTCCGGAGTTCGATTCTCCATCGAGCCATTCCGACGGAAACCCTTATTTTTTACGGTGATCGTCTTGGCCGCTCGTACGGCTTGTTGGCGTAGTGGTAATGCGCTCCGTAGCGATATGTAACGTTCGCATATCACGGAAGGTCCGAAGTTCAATTCTTCGTCAAGCCTTTGACGATAACCATTCTTTTTCCCCGGTCTTATTGGCTTTTTTGGTAGGCCGGTCATGGCTTGGTGGCGTAATGGTAACGCGCTCCATGTACCTAACGTTCCCATATCGTCTAACGGAAAGTCCGGAGTTCGATACTCCGTCCAGCCATGTTGGGTCGGGATATGATTTTTAGCTCGTGAGTTGGTCCTTGATGGACATCGAGTTCGAGGCTTGAATGGCTTGTGGGCGTAATGGTAACGTGCTCCGTGTACCTATAGCATATGCATATCGGTTGATGGAAGGTTCGGAGTTTGATTCTCCGTCAAGCCATGGATTGGGTCTGGATAACATTTTAACTCGGAGTTGGTCCTTTGTGGTCTTGAGTTCAATTCTCGAATGGCTTGTTGGCGTAATGGTAATGCATTCTGTGTACCTATAGCATTCGCATATCGGTTGATGGAAGGTTCGGAGTTCAATTCTCTGTCAAGCCACTAGTTGGGTCCGGATATCATTTTTACGTTGATGGCTTAAGGCGTTGTTCTCGGAGTTCGCTGTTTTGAGGTTACGTCGGGAGCTATCACAATGTGATGGCTCACACCGTCCCTGGCTCCACTTGCATCCGCATCAGTTTGTGGAGGATTTGGACGTTGACTTTGCGTCCGGGTTTTTGGACACAAGTCCCACGGTTCGACAGTCTCAAATCACAAATCCCAATGCTCTTTCTGATCTCAAGACAACGGACACACGGCTCTTTCAAAATCAAACTTAATTCACAACGTTGGCAATCAAAAGAAACTTTATTTCACGGGACCACCATCAAAATAGCAGAGTGCTCAGAGTAAAGCCCTCAACCGAGACCTGTCGCATGCGTGGGAAGGGGCAATGGTGTTAGCCTTCCACACTAGCTCGGTTTAAGATTCAGTGCCATTCCCTTCAGAATGTCCTGCTTTTATACTACAAATTATATATGATTACAATGTATGATTACACTACCACGGGTATATACAGGTATCCGGTAGGTCATCTGGTATCAGGATATTATTCCCATTGGCTGATCGTAGGTTCTATATGTTTAATTCTGACAAATAGGTTACCGATTGCAAGGAACCGTCCCCTTACTGTCATGATCGGGTATGATTTAACTCCTGTTGAATGAGCTAAACTTCCTCTGTACCTACTACACTCTGCCCGCTGTGTCCGGAGGACACGGGTAATTATACGCTCACTTATAGCTTTAATTTGATACCCATAACTCCTGGATTGGAGTTATGGTTACTTCTGTATGGTCTACTTTGTCAGGCGTAAGCCGATCGAACCTACGTCGGCAAGAATCGCTACTCGGGCACTTCACAGCTGGATCACGTGATCGATCACGTCGCGAACTCCATCAAAACTCAACCAAACAGGGTGGTGTTATACGCCATAGTACTCGTTGGGACATCAACCAAGCTTCACAGAGTGGATAATTGTTATCTCCTTGGTAAGTGGCTATGTTCATGTTCTGTTGCCATTTAACTGAACACTCGGAGCTTGTGTCAGCCCTTAGATGCACGCAGAATGTAATTATTTAATAATTCCATTGTTGGTAAATTTTGTGGCTTATCAGCGCGGCAAGAGTTTCATTCGGGTTTCAAACCTGGGCTGATTGCCGGATTCACAGGCGCAGGTGTGCGATTCATTTCATTCTCGTGGGTAAGTTTCCTTTCACTTCGAGCGAACACGGGCTGACTCCTGGGATTTTCATTCTCGCAGGCTGCCTTCATTTTCATTTTTCCCGGTAACTTTCATTTTGACCTGGACTGGCTGCACTGACGCTCATTGTAGGCCGCACTGTTGAACAGTTCATTTTCAAGCATGCATTCACTTTCATTTTCATATTCATTTTCAGCCTGGTAAGATTCATTTTCCACTTCATTGGCATGTTTGCTAACTATTTATTCTATTTCATGTTGGGTGGAATTGAGCCGTAGTTAGTAGTTAGAAGTAGACAGAAATATTAATTCTAAAGTGTGGTATTAATGCTATCGACTGATATCACTGAAATCTGGGGGTTTCGAAAGAGACGCTGATTGAAGCTCTTTCAGTTTCACCTTCCGGACCAAATGAAAGACCACTTATCTATAAGCTGTGATTTGGCTGACAATTCATGCACTTTCAGGTACCATCTTCACCTAGGTCAAGATTTTGTTTTCCACAGTGTGGGATGCCCGAGAGGTTCTAGAGAAGTGATAGAACAGGATAGAACAGTTCCAGTCACGACGGACGATTGGTCCCCTTGATCCGTTAGATATTGAGGCCAGAGAATGTTGCGACACCGATATTGAGTGAGCACTGCAAGAGTAGCCAGCAGCAAACTAAAAGCAGGATGATCACTGGAGAGCAATAATTATAGAGGGGAGAGTTCCCTTATTCAAGGAAGGAAAGTTCTCGGCTGCAGGGTGAACGGCTGGCCACAGTGCAGCGAGCACTTGCTGCGAAACGCTGCGGGATAAGCTATGAAATCACTGTCCTCATGTGAGGAAGCTACGGAAATGTCAGCTGTCAGGAGGACATATGACAAAAAAGTTACCTGCGAGCTCATTAGAGTGAAAAATCACAGTAGGTCTTTTGAAATGGGGCAACGAGAAGAGGGCAAGGGCAGGAGGGAAAATGGAGATAACCTAGATCTTACCAGGTGCAGATGAACGAGATAAACATTAAATGATGTATAATCGCGGGGAAGATAATTATCTCGAAATATATAACACTGCAGCTACATATATGCCTACTCCTCTCCAATGAATTACAAACTGGCAAAGCTTAGAAGAATTACACAGAAACTAGGAAAACAAGAAGATGCAGTAACATAGATAGAGGGAGGGAATATAGCATGCAGAACACTAGAGCCTTACTGCTACTCCAATAAATTATGTTCCAGCAACTCTTAAAGCAAGACAGAAAATAAAGAGAGAACAAGTCCATGCAGTAACACAGTCAGGCTGGAATCAAAGAAGGCCTTGTTTCATCCTCCTCCTCAACAATCACGGTGTCCAGATGAGACTTTGGTGCATTGAGAGCTAAGAGCTGAACCATGGGCTTGGGATGGTCTTCTGACATATTGCTCACTCCAGCAAGTCGCTTATCAATATGGTCAACTTGCTTCACCTGTGAAGTTCGTTCGAACACTGGTCTTGCTGTTTTCCAGAGCTCCACTGCCTTGTGGAGGTCCCCATGCAGCTCTGAAATATCTCCAAGTCGAAGCATACATTCTGCTCTGCTGTGGTGCACGTCCATCTTTGTGAATCCCTCAAGCGCAACAGTGAACCCACTGATTCCCGTCTGCTGGTCACCATCTGTGAGATAAAGATCTCCAAGCAATTGGAGAGCTTTGTGGATTTCCAGCTTCTGCTTCAACTTGAGGCTGTGGACCAGGAATGTCACTGCCCAATTATATGAAGCATAGGCTATATCAAGCCAGAGGGAGACATTCCCTAGTCTCTCCAAACAGTAGCTGACTGCCTCAGTATATTGTACCCAGGCAGATCTAAGGCATGCTTCAAAGAGACTGTTTGCCTTCAGCAATTCCCCCTCATTCACATGGAGAGCTGCTGTGATTATATCACAGAAAACAGTTCCCATTGAATACTGTAGGCTTCCAAAGAGTTGCTTGGCTGCTTTGATATTTCTCTCCACACCATCCCTCAATGCACCAATTTCCACATCAATCTGTGCCATTGTGAGTAAAGTGAGGGCATGACTGTATGTATTTTGCTCAATTTGCCCAGTATAAAGGCTCTGATTTCAGTAAGTGGACTTCTCCTTGACCTTTGGAGATATTACGAGCTAGGATGCCACTGGACATACTACAAAGCCTAAGCAGATCTCTTGCTCTGTTGGCTAAGACACTTTGCTTATATTCCTAGGGCACACCAGCACAGAGATTCTATGCGCCGTGCATAGGCCTCCACCAATAGGTTGCCTGAAATTCTGGCCAGCCTCCATGACTTAGAAGCATGCTCCTGGGCTGCAGAATAACCACCAGGTACCCACTTTATCCATGTGAAGTGATTCAACATCTCAGCCTGTTTTCTCATATTCCCAGTTGAAATTGGCAATGAGAGCCCATTCTGAGCAAGGGAGATAGCTGTTGGAATGGCATGGGTAAATGCACAATGATATTCCGAAAAAACAGCATAACACCGGCCTGGCTGGCCCTGTCAGTACTTCTTTAATAATATTAAATATACCACTAACATTTTAGGTCAGGATCATCAAAATGTGAGAAACATTCAAGAGCTTGATCCACCATGTGGTGCGCATTGGCTACAGCATGGTATCGATGTCCCGAGAAAACACTCATGATAAAATAGACCTCTACTCGATGGTCTCTGGGGTAGGGCAGAAAATTGGGAATCTGATGTATTAATTGGCTCTGGCCATGTCCAGCCACTCTGCTGAAGCAGTCAAAATAGCATATGCAATAGATGGTTTTCACAAGGTCTGGATTGTCTGGCTTTAGACTGTTGCCCAGGATATTCTGGATGTTTCCGAAGTTCGATGTGATTCGAGCTACAATCCCAGGGCTTGAGACAGTCCCACAATAAGTGTCATGCACCTCAAGGAGGTGGTTGAAATGCTTCAGCAGTGGTTGAACAATATATGCCATAGGTGGATGCATTTTCTGCATATATTCCCGGATTGGTACCAATGCCTTCAGGCATTTCTGATCATCTGTATAAGCTAGAGAGGTGCGAAGTAAGGCTGCTTTGCAGGCTAGGATGTTTTCAATTGGAAGATTTGCAGGAGCTCCACATCAGACAGCCCATCAGGCAACACTGAGAGAAAGCTCAATAAATCTTGTGAGTGAGGTGTGGATGCTAGGCGAGGGCTTTCCAGGGATATGGAAATTGATAAGTCCAAATTCGATCCTTTGTTATGACCTTCTGAGAGCAGTGAGGTCTTCTCTGTCTCCCAGTGATGCATCACACTTTCAAGACCATCATAGTCCACCAAATGGGCTATAAGAACAATTGCCAATGGCATGTTGTCAGCAAAGAGGAGGATTTTATCAATGTCTTCAGCAGCATAACCATCATCCACAATATCAATAAAGGTTTTCCGGGCCGCATCCTGAGTCAAGAACTTCAATGGTTCCAGAAATGGATGAGTCCATCGGACATTGGCTGGCCTTTCTGCTCCGTGCATTGTGATCTGAAATGGTTTCAGTGTGTAGGAAACAATATTGGACCCTTGGCTTACCATCAATGTGAGCTGATCAACATCCTCAAGTAAAGCCAAGAATTTTTCAACATCTGCGCGGAATTCTCTTGGTTCCCAGACAATCTCCAGATTGTCCAAGATCAAGAGTGAAGGGGGGCTGTTCAGGAAGTACTGGACCACAGGTTTCGTGAGATCTTGGCCGGGCTTCAGTCCAACATGGGCACCAATCAGAGCAGCCAGGTGAACATGACTTGATGCAGTATCACACGTGACAAAGAAATGATGCTGTGTA